GAAAAAGGGGCCTAAATAATGACCTATGTTTGGGGGGTTCCTTGTTATAGCTATAGAATGGGCCCCTAAACCCTATTCTAAGTATTAAGGCCCCGGTACTATGCTTTGAGTTTGGGGTGACAGGTTGAGGACTGTTGAGGACTTATGGGCTTGAGCTGGTTATGGGGCTTGTTGTCCCAGGTGCTAGCTAGCCTTTTCCTGAGTGGTGTAGAAAGAGACGGGGAGTCCTAAAGCCTCAGCAGCGAGCAAAAGAGCCCAAATCCAACTCCAACCCTTTAGCCCGAAGTCCCGCAAGCCTCCATCATATTTGAGCCCTCGACCGGAGCAATCCGAATCCAGTAACTGACGCCGTCAGCGCGGTGGCCGAACTTCGACCAAGGTGAGACCATCCGCAGCCGAGCAGAAAAGCTGCTCAAAGTCGAGTGCCGAGTCCCGCCGGCTCGATTGTACTACGATGTACGATAAAGTACGGCAAATACCATAACAGACGAAAAAAATCACATGCTATCTATACTATACAATTGCCTTGGGGGCTTTCAGCGGTTTTTCCCCAAAAGCCCTGGGGGGTTGGATTCTTCGCGGCAATGTTTCGAGTCTTCGGCGGGTCCCCCGAAATGCGACGCGTGGCGGGACGGCTTCCTCCGAGAGGGGCGCGATACCGGGTGCGGGGCGGCTTTCAGATCGTTTAGAGCCTTTGGCGTCCCACATGTGGTATCGATATGGGGTGCGGTGTGGCATGCGGGCGGGGTTCCACCAATAGCGGTCGCGATACAAGGTCTGGCGTGGGGGTCGGGGCGGGTTGACTTCTGTCCTGTATCTGAGGAGGACCCGGTCCTCTGCATACGCGACAATCGTTCGTGTCACTGCTCGCGATATTTGCTGGCAGGGTTTTGCTACTCGTGTCAAGGAGTCAAGACAGACTGGTAGTCGCATGTAGTCGCTGTGGTGCTGCTCGTATTTGTCTCGATAGTCATAATGTCATACTCCAATCGTAGTGTCACTGCACCCCGAAGCGGCCCCAAACCCCATAGGCTCAAACGAATCCTACACCCTAAGCCCTACAAGCCCTAAGCCCTAAACTTATACCCTAACCCGAAGCCCTAAAGCCGGTTCCGTGGCAGGTCCTGGTCAACGCCGGCGAGGCGTTGTTGAGCGCGGTGGGCAGGGAGCTGAATTCTCCTGTCATGGCCGGGGAGCCCGGTCTCCGAGCTGGGAGTCGAGGGTGGAGGCGCCGGGGATCAGGGGATGAGGGGTCTGAGTTTTGAGTAAGACTCTCTTGTTGGAGTCCCCTTGCAGCCTATACCGTTTATTTGCATCCTATACCATTTTTCAAGTTTCTGGCCATGCCTCCACCCCCTGCACACACATGTCAAGTCAAATGATCTGCATAAAAATCCTTGTTACATCCCGACAATGGCAAGGGGTTTCTGGTGGAATATGGGTTGAAGTTTTGTGTCGGGGGTGGTCCCTGGAAATAGAAGTTCATTTGGATCCATCGTCGGCGAGTTCAACCCGACATTAATTGGCCATCTTGAGGAGCCTTTTCGTGTTGTTGCTGGTTTTGCTTGGAACATTACAGCAGAGCTGCCATCAAGCTGCTTGAAGCTGCTGAGATGAGGAGATGGTGTGCATGCCATGGTTCACAGTGAATAATTACCTTAGTAGGAAGTATCGTCGCCCGACCTCGTGCGTGTCACCATGGATCGCAACTGCTCCCGCATTGCTGGCATTACGGATGCTATTTCATCCTTCTTAGAGACACTTGCATCCTTCACTGCAGAAACGCACGGTTTGGTTGCTACTAGTACAACACTGGGATGGGGGATCCGGCAGGCCCGTAACCGGCAAACAAAGTTTTCCAAGCTGTGATTTTGCTGCTGTCTTGGCTAGTTCACGTTATGGGCTGAAGCGTTTTTCCCAAAACCCCACGGCGGTTGGGTTCTTCTTTAGATTTTCCAACTGCGTGGCGATACGGAATAAGATTGCAAGCGTTTTGACTGGTTGTCAAAGCCTGCGCAGCGGGAATCTCTGTGCGTGCAAAAAGGCTCTCCCAAGAAAGACTGAGCCTACGAGTCTCGCGCAGATTACGAATCGGATGCTCAGGCAACTGAGTGAGGGTTATCCCAATTGAATGAGGAGGCGTTATCGTCGCTACAGCAACCAGCGCAACAAGGCCAGGGATAGTCGCAGGAGCATTAGTAGAATTAGCACCAACTGTATAGCAAGTAGGACGCATATACTCGAAGTGACACGTCGTTGTGACACGTTGCACTAGAAGCGATACGAGCTGCAATCGAAGTAACACTACAAGACAAGCTTCGGAACAATCTTGTTGACCCGTAGGAATGAGTTTTGGCTCTTTGCCCCAAACACGGGATCCAGTCCGAGGTGCTCCTGCTGCAGAAGCTGCCCAAGCTGTTGGCCCGTCAGGCTGCTCCATCTTCAGAGTCCTGGGTTTATCAGAGATTTGCATCCGTGACCTCTTTGTTTGGGGTCGCTTCACGAGTTTGACGACAAACGAAGAACTGCACCAATACCTGACAAGAACCCACGTGAACCTGACAAAAACCGAACAAAACCTGACAAAAACCCAACACAACCTGACAAGAACCAACAAATCCAGAAATTTTACCAGTTTTCGGGTCTGCCCCTTGAATATGCAAAGAGAACCCTCTTTGAGAGGCACGACACGGAGCTCACAGAGTTTAGGGGTCTTTGTTCTTTATTACCTAGATTCGTTGCAGCAGTGATCACAGGGCGCTGCTATATGCCACCAGAAGCCACAGCCGGTTCTTTGCACCTTGGCTCAAGATGCGCAGAGGCACCAGTCAGTAGGTACCCTTCATCGTTGCATCACAGGCGGGCCGACATAGCTTGTCATCCAAACCGACATAGAGTACTCGTAGTTGAGAAGTTTGACTTCCACAATTCCACGGATGAAGGGGGCGGGGGGTGACTGTTCAGCCTCTTGCCGCGAAGCCCTGCAGCCCCTGGACAGGAACCATGATGGTCTCCGAAGAGGAGCTCTCGAAGATGTCAAAGATGTCGGTGGCAGAGACCGCCTTGGAGCCGTTTCTTGGCAAACCTAGTGTCTAAACCCTAAAACCCCCTGGCTCTGGCAGTCTTGCCAAGGAAGGGACGATACAGCGTTGACCACCGAGCTCTGCTTTTTGGGCAGCGCGGCGGCGAGTTCAGCTATCCCCGAATGCAGACGTTCAGGGTTACTGTACGGGTTGCTGTGCGGTTTGAGGGCTTCTGCAAGATTAGCATAAGTACTATAGTACTTTTTTGTTAGTATAGCAAAGGGTTTCGGCCAACTTCCTGCCCTGTTGGAAGAACCCATGCCCCCGCGAGGGATTACAACGTCAAAGACATGCCCCAGAGCCCTGAACCGCACCCCACGCCCGGAATCTGGCTTTCTCCAGGTCGCGCTTTGGCCGGGGCGATGTCGTGAACACGAAGGGCAAGGCAAGCTTGTTTTGTCGCCCGCAACGACCTTTAGAAGCATGTTGCATGTGAACTTTGTCCTCGCCTCCTGCGAGGCCGCAGCCATAGCTTATGCCGCCGCCGAGCAGGAGGAGCTCCAGCTGCGGAACGAGGACAAGAAGAGGTTGACGGTTCGTGGATGCGAAGTTTCTTTTTCACGCAAGTGAGTGGAGTTGATGGTCTTAGCGACTTCCGGAAAAGAGTGGTTTTCGTCGCCGCACTTTCACTCCGCCCAGCCTGTTTCACGGTTCCAGTTTGCAAGTGATGTGAGGAAAGATGTGAGATGCAACGGTTCAGAACTCGCAGTACCTGATAGCAATTGAATGCAGGACGGTTTACCCAATCAGAGCCAACTGAAGCGGCAGGAGCTGGCCGAAAGGCTCTCCAGCAAAGTGGACCAGCTCAGAGAGATCAGCTTGAGTGCCTCGGCCGTTCGGTCTTGCACTGGGTGTTGCGGTCCTCGGGTCCCACCCGAGACCGTGCACATCACGAAACTCCGCTAAGCCTGAACCCGCTCAACTTTAGCTACTGGCAGTGTCAACACCGAGGCATCGCCGAGGAAACCAAGGAGTCTACGGCGCAAACTGACGACATGAACAGGCACGACCGTCCTTGTAGTCGAGTACATCGTGGTATAGTCTGAGTACTACGATTACAACTAATGCTGAAATTAATACTGTTACTACTGCCACTACTATTACTACCACTACTACTACTACTACTACTACTACTACGACGACGACGACGGCGGCGGCGGCGGCGGCGACGACGACGACTACTACCACTGCTGCTACTACTATTACTCATCCTGCTGGTCCTACTCCTCGTACTCCTACTCATTCTCCTCCTGCTGCTGCCGCTGATGCTGCTGCTCCTGCTACTGCTGCTACTGCTTTGCTGCTGGTACTGCTATTTGTACTTGTATTGCTACTACCAAGGTAGCGGCAGCATAGAGCATGCTCAGCGGCGATGTTTGACAGGCAGTTTGATCGCGCTGGCGGCTGGCTGTCGCAAGCCAATGCCAAGCTGCAGGTTGGTGTTGTGATGCAGTTTTCTCAGTTGGTCGCGGATTGGGGCTGTGAAAATATCTGAACTGAGTCTGAAAACACCTAAAAAACTCGGGAAGTAAACGCACGGTCTGTGCAGCTTCGAAACCAAGACCAAGATGCTACCTGCAGCATAATTCCTCACCCCCACTCCCTCCCGCTCAGCCCTAATCCTGAGCCCGCAAATGAGTGAACCTGGCAACCCTTCATCCTCAATGAGCGCTCGACCAAATCTTGCAACAAGGGATCCTCCATTGTAGGCCGCTAGAAGAAGATGTTGACGAAATGCACCTCAGACATTTGACCGACCTCAGAAGCTATCTCCTACAATCCCCACCGCGATTTTGCCTACGTGGGCCCGGGCGTAGGTGATGGCGAAAAGTTCCGGGAGCCGCCACATGTGCACGCCGCTGCCTTGGCACTTGGACTTGGGGGCCATTGAAGTATGGGCCCTTGGGGGGGGGGGGGTCAGCATTCAAGCAACTCTCTATGACATTATGACGTAGGGGTACCCAAGGTATCATGGGTCATAGGCTGGGCACGCCGATTCTTTTGACGATGGACGAGGATGATGTTTGCTTGATGAGTTTTGCCATTGCCATACGCAGTGTGCTTGTAGTGTTGTTGTGATGCTCACTACTCACACCCACCACTTCCTTCAATTCCCAGTCTTGTTCGTCTTCTCTGAGTCTGGTTGTGGTCTGAAAGATTAGTGTTTAGTAACGATTAGTAAGCATGATGGTGCAGCCTCCACCTGCAGAAGGATGGTGCTGTTTGCCCTGGGACTACTTCTGCTGCTTGGCTGCACGTTGGGACCTGGGGACATCTGGATTCGGAATACATGTAGCGGGCACCGGAACAACAGGGAGAAAGTGAGAAATCAGCAACAAAGACCTAACAGAGGACAGTCGATTGATATCTTCCTGGAAGCACTAATCCTCGCAAGAAACACTCATCCTTGCAAAGCCAGGCAACCTTAAACTGTGAATCCATAGACTGACCATATGGTGTGCACCCATACAAAGGCCCCAAACGCAGTGAACCCTGAGCCCGAATCCAACTAAACCCTCTGCCCCAAACCGAACAACCAATGATTCAGAAACTGAGCCTTGATTCAGAAACTGCGCTTCAGAAACTGTGCGCGCTTCAGAAACTGTGCCCGAAAC